ATCTAGTTAAATATCTTTGTATTTGTGTAGTTATTATTTAGATGTGTAATATGGGCCACAAATGTATCTCACCCCATTAGCCCTCTTGTAAGCCTTAAGTTAGACATCCTTAATTATGTATAAAAGGAAGCTAACTTAAGAGAAACCCTAAGCCTAACACATATTATTCACGCACATATCAATCTTAGAGAGATAGAGAGAGTCGAAGCTTGTGTTTTTCGATACCCCGTTCTGTATTTCTCGATCATTGTTGGTTTGAATCAAAGTTGTTCTCTTCTTTACTCTATATATTTTGTATGATTGTTGGATGAAATTGGGAAAACAGAGTTGCACCATCAGAAACATTACATGTATGTTTTTAAAAAATATATTTAGTAGTACATTCGATTAGTTACAATTCTGAGACCAAAGATATTTTAGTGCATTGCATTAAATGATGTTTCATCATTAAAACATGTGGCCTGTTGGTCATCTATAAACTTGCTTTATGTGCATTGCATTAAATGGTTTTGCTTGAGCCCTAAGTGTCCAGATTTTTATAATGTGTGGCTTTATATTCCTCATGCTAGTCTTGGTAATTTAAACATAAAATATTCGATCTAGCATATTCAGGAAGAAATAGAATTGCTCAAAACGTTGAAGTGCTACGTGGCATAGAAAAAATATTTTTATTTTTTCTCCTGTAATATACATTGGTTTATTAGTCAATCTTAACTATTGCTATACTTTGGTTTATACTTATTGCTCATACAGATTAAATTTATAAGTGTAAAAGAAATTGAAATAAAACTTTTGAAACTCTATAAAATTTGTACTGGTATACAATTATTTTAAAAATTCGAAGCCCCTAATTTGTTGCTGCCTATTTTTAACACCAAATGCCGCATGTTGCACTTCAAGTAATATTAGCAAACATTATACTCCCTCCGGTCCCAAAACAAATTCACACTTACTATTCATTAGTCAACTTAAATCACTCTTAATGTTTTATTTTATATATCAAATTTAAATTTTCTTGATCAGACTTTGTAGCGGGTTTAATGTAGTTTCTAAATATGTAAATTTTATTTGCTAAAAATAATCCGAGCGTGAACAGGGATCGAGTTGCTTTATCGTCGTAAACCGTGAGTGAATTTCTTTTGTGACCGGAGGGAGTATATGTATTTTTAAATGAACATATACATATATCTTTATATATATATAAAGATGTAAATGAACATATATCTTTATATATATATATATATATATATATATATATATATATATATATATATATATATATATATATATATAAAGATGTTGTAGCCATCAATATATACGATTTTTTTTAAAATTATTGATTTTTTACGTGTTTTAAATTACCCCAAATCCATTATTGTTACATTTTTAAAATTACTTTAGTGCCATCGTTCGGAAATTGCAATGCATTTAATGCATTTATACTCAATTCATGCTTGCCTCAAGAAACCTTCTACTCCGATCCTTAAAAAGTATTTTTTTTAGAAAGGGGAATTTTATTGATAAAAAATAGTACAATGCGAGAAGGAAGAAGAAAAAAAAGCACAGAAAAGATAAAATTAAAAATAAACTAGATCCAAAGGAATTCTTTGGAGTGAGACCAAGTCCTGGTTTTGTGGCGCCTTTAATTATTCTGAGATTTCTTCTAAATTTTTAGTTGCGTCTTCAAGTTGTCTGTAGGAAGGCAATTTTATGAGGTAACGAACTCAGCTTTATGGCAGATCTCACTGTTGAATTTGGAATTCCTAATATCTTCCTCATTTGAAATAGGAGGACGACGATCGCTTTATGTTGTGTGTCCTAGAAAGCCATTTGAAAAAAAATGAGTTGTCAGAATGATCAAAGCTGTCAGAGGTAGCTGAGTAAGCTGGAATCCAAGACATCTTTTAGACATCTTTGATTCCAGCTTACTAAGCTGCCTGTGACAGCTTTGATCACTCTGACAACTCATTTTTTTCAAATGACTTTCTATGATACACAACATAAAGTGATCATCGTCCTCCTATTTCAAATGAGGAAGATATTAGGAATTCCAAATTCAACAGTGAGATCTACCGTAAAACTGAGTTCGTTACCTCATAAAATTGCCTTCCTACAAATAACTTGAAGACGCAACTAAAAATTTAGAAGAAGTCTCAGAATAATAAAAGGCACCACAACACGAGGACTCGGTCTCAATCCAAAAAATCCCCTTGGGTCTAGTTTATTTTTTATTTTATCTTTTCTGTACTTTTTTTTCTTCTTCCTTCTTGCACTGTACTGTTTTTTTATCAATAAAATTCCTCTTTCTAAAAAAAATACTCCCTCCGTTCTTTTTTAGTTGCAACGGTCAACATTTCACATTTGCCAACACACGTCTTTGACCGTAATTATATCTTAATTCTATTAAAAAAAATATACAAAAATAGATTTTGAAAATTTGTAATGAGATGAATTGAGCAATATTTTTTTTAAAAATAATTTTCATAAAATAATAGCGTAAAATGTAGTCAAAGTAGAGCATGTGAATAGTTTAAAATTCAACATGTTGCAATTAAAACGGAACGGAGGATAATACTTTTTAAGGATCATAGTAGAAGGTTTCTTGAGGCAAGCATGAATTGATGATGATGTCACGCACTGTATCAAAGATTATGAAATATATTTTTGTAGATGATAAAGACTTACAGTTGTTTATGATGACATGTTGTAATATACTGAGATGTAATATTGTTGCAAATATGTTTATAAGTTTTGGTTGACTATTTTGAAATTCAATCGTCTGACTTATTTTTTTTTTGAGTAAATATTTTAACAAGTAATATATTTTACTCTGTGTGGTGGTGGTGTATTTTTGTTTTGGTGTCTACTCTAATAACATTCGTACCATGCCATAGTTTGTTGAAATTTAACTTTTAACACCGGTTGTAACCGATGTGAGACGGGAAAATCGAATTTTAAAGTTAAAAACTTTCTACATCGATTATTCACAAACCCGATGTGAAAGATATTTACATCATTCAAAACCGATGTGGTATGCAGAGGACAGGTCGTTTTGCACCCTTTTCAAGATCTGGTCCAAGAACTTATTATCGGGCTGCTATTTTTAGTCTTGTTACATTTTGTCTAGTATCTGATATATTAATATAAGATATTACAATAGAAAAATTAAAAGCAGTAAAAACGGGGCGTTGAAATCATATATTTCACTTTATTTTATTACTCCCTCCGTCCCGGTGAGTTCTTCCTAAATTGACCTGGATCGCAAATTTAGATAGTGAGAATAAAGTGGAAATGTATGGTTGTAGTTGTGCAATAAAAATGTGAATGAATGTGAACCACATATTTTTTCCAAAAGTGAAAGTTGGAAGAATTAATTGAGACGATCCAAAAAGGAAAGTTGGAAGAAATGATCGGGACAGAGGGAGTATTTGATTAAAAGATCATTTTCCATAACACTAAATTTTAGGCAAAATGGTCAAATGGGACCCTATATTGGTACAAATTGCTCAATTCCAACCCCTAAATTAGGAAAGAGTCAATCCAACCCATTAACTCTTCAAAAAAAATTCAAATGTCCCATTTCGCAAGTAAACTCATGTTTTAAGGATATTAATGTTCTACTTGACCGGTTAAACGTTATCTTTAAGACTGACTCAACATTTAAACACAGTCATTCCCCATTAAAACACACGTGTTTTATTTATTTATTTTTGAGGAATTTACCTAAATGGGAGTAATTAAGTTCTTAATTGTTAAAGTAGGATTAAAGTTTAAAATTTTCCTAAATAGAAGTTATTATTTGTAGTTGGACAGAAATAGCCCTGAATTTAACAAAACAGCCTGCCACCAACAGATCGCTGCACAGGCCATCGTCGGCCACCGCCGGCCACCGCTAGCCGCCGTCGTAACCTCAAAACTAGCTGCCGCTGGAGATTTGGCCGCCACGGTTGCAGACTTGATCGCCGCCGTCGTAGATCTGACCACCGCCTCTCTAGATCGGGCCAAATCTGACCTCCGCCGACCGCCAACTGCCGCCCAAGCAGATCTAGCCGCCGCCACTCAGATACAGACGCCACCACCGCGGATCCAGACGCCACCAGCGCAGATCCGACCCCCACCATGGCAGATCTGATCGACGTCACCACTGATGACAACTTTTTTTATCAAAATGCCAACCCGAATTGAGAATGACATATTAATGGCATTTTCAAAGAAAAGTATTAATTTTTTAAAGAATAAGAATGCCATTTTGATGGCATTTTAGAAAAAAATTGGCAGTCGTAAAAACGAAGTAAAGCACACCGGTTTAATTTCGAACATTATTGACAAACACATAGGCAACAAGTCATTACAAATCCAAAACTCAGCAATTACAGATTCCAGACATGAGGAAGAAGATTGAAAGGCTCACAGAAATTCATATAGAACAAAAGAAGAAGTAAATTGAAGAAACAGAAGAGTGCGAAGGAGGAGACAGGCCACATACGTTCGTTGTCGCTGCTGACCGGCGCTCGCCGGCGCAAGCTGCCGCTGCTCACCACCTCTCTCTGTTGAAGCCGAGCTATGTGTAGAAGATGCGACCCTGCTGAGCGTGAACGAAGCTTATAAGTTGCCGCAAGGTTAAAATGATTTAGAGGGTAAAATTGGAAAATGGTCCTATTTAGGGAATAAAATTATACTTACTCTTATTCTGGAATTTTAATAACAATTTAGTCCTATTTGAGGCAATTTTTCCTTTATTTTTATTTACTCCGCAACTCACTTGGATTCAACCACACATGGCACTATCCATAGTGACAAAGCTTTAAAACGGGAGGTTACCTACAAAATGTTACATTTGATTTATTTTGAAGAGTCGATGGGTTGAGTCCACTCTTTTCTAAGTTGGGATAAGATTGAACAATTTATAGTTATGGGCCGATAGAGCGGACCTATCTGACTATTTGACCCTTAGCCTAAGTTTTTCTCATTTTCAAACACAAAAAGCCCCCGTTAACGTGTTCTGATCTGGTTGTCCAAAATCCAAATTCACCAATGCATAAACTTCCCTCCAAAATTAAAATCTCCCTCCAAGCGGCATCATAAACCCTATCCCGCATTCCTTCTTCCATTTTTTGGATCGTGTTCATTCCAAAGAGAAACAATGTCGAATCATGAAGACCTCGATCTCCTCCTATCGCTTCAAGATAGGGTTTTGGAAACACCCCCTGCTTCTCCCTCATCTCACTCTACTGGTCAGCTTTCCTTCCTTGAAGTTCATTTTCATGAATTGTGTTTGTTGGTTTGAATTGGAACGCGAGCGGTCCCATTTTCAGGTTATCTTTCCGATGAAGGCCCCCCTAAGAGAGTGGGGCAGACGGACATGTCTGTCTTCCGAGATGCCGTTCAGGACTGTATAGATTACGATTCTGAGATTGCTAAGAAAGAGCTAAAATCTAAACCCAAAGTTTCCAATTCCTCCAAAGATCCAGAGGTGGAAAGGTTTTCCGGTTTGCGGATCCGGTAAGTTACTGATGTGATTGAAATAGTGTCAGTGCTAATAGCTGCATTCTTTTAAAGTGGACAGTTAAGGTCTAGTATTCTAATGTGGATTTTATCTTAGGAACCAATTAGTCTCCCCTGTGGAGCTCAGCAACCGTTTGTCTGACATCCGATTTGTTCGGTTACCTGCAATAAAGTAAGCATGGTGTTCACGAGTTTTTGAAAAAACAGCCCTTGTTTGATTGCATTGTTGACCTTGAGTTTCATGATCTAATATAGGAATTTGCTTTCTGGAGATACACTTTCGGGGTGTTGGGCAACAATTGGAGTGTTAACTGAGATTGGGAAACCAAGGACTAGCTCTACTGGAAAGCCGTATGCAATATGGAAAATGGGGAGCTTGGATGAAAAGACTGTTTCAGTTTTTTTGTTTGGTGATGTTTATAAGAGACATAACAATGAGAAGCCTGGGGAAGTGTTTGCACTTTTCAAATGCAGTGTCCGCAAGGATAATTCGGTACCACTGCTAGACCAATGTAGTTCATTGTTCTTTATTAATGCCTAACTTTTGATAAGGGCAACTTATTTGCTTCTTTCCAGGAGGGTGGCTTTAGTTTGAGCTTATTTTCAGTAAGTAACATCTTAAAGATTGGCACATCTGCTGACTATGGGATTTGCAAGGGGAAAAGGAAGGATGGACTGGCCTGCACACTATTCATTAATAAGTATTTATCTCTAACTCTACATCAGTGACTGTGTATCAGTAACTGCAGAAAAGATGTACATTTAGAAATTTTCCTGCATCTGTCTCTGTGAGAGACATTGTTATTTGGCTACAGATGTCGGATGGTGATTTTCAGATGGTTTCTGCTAGATAGATTTTTTAAGAAACTACTTGAACTACGAAACTCTGATAGTTTTTTATTAGTGTTTGCATTTTCTAGTTAACTGACAAATATGATGAGTTTTCATAGACATGTAATATCCAGGAGACCAGGATTACAATGCACCAATCTTATACAGTTGTAGCATACAGTTAAGGGTCCATTTGGAACTTGTTAAATGCTACAGAAGAAAATGTGGAGGAAAATAGAGATGAAGTTGGAAGGAAAGAAAATGATGGGAATATAAAAAGTTGCTTCCAACTCAATATTTTAATTTTAGATATTTGTTCCAACACTTATTATTGAAATATTTCTATTATATAAAGACTAAGAAATCTAAATATTGCTAAACTTTCAATTTACAAAAGAAAGGTAACTTTGTTTTGCATTTTATTAGTTAAAACCAAACATTAAAACAATTTTCATTTGAGTTATTTTCATTCCACCATTTTCAGTGTTCCAAAAAATAGCCTAATGTTGCTCATCTATTTCTCATTTTCTTGAAACTGAGTTCTATTTAAGCCACTGTTTGTTTACATATAAAATCTTATATTGGATGCTGTTTGACAAACACGATAGCTGTTTTATTGGTTTACAGTTGTATGAATCTGTACTAAGATTTTCTCAATTACTTGCAGACGGAATGGAGCATATTGCAGCTACCACCGACAGGTTATTGAAGAGAACTCAGAATATTCTCAATCATAATAGAGTATTGCAGTTTCCTAATGTATTTCTTCTTTCAGAAAACATCCGAAAAGTACACTGTCACCAGGAATGAACTTAAGGGGGGGTGAGTACCACTCTTGTAATTACAATAAACATTAGGCACATAATATATTAAGAACTTTATTTTATGGTTTCCACTCTCTAAGTTCTGACTTTTCCTCAACTCCTATTGTTTTTTTATTGATCAGGAACTTAAGGACCGCTTTTAGGCGTGATCTCAAGTCCGAAGGAATATATATGGTTAACCCTTCAGCAGACATAACGAACCCCACAAAGAACAAAGCACCGGTGAAATTATATTCCACAGACCAATTAAAGAAGGCATTGAGGTTTTTGAACTTCCTAGTCACTTACTCTGTATTATGAAATATGTGGCAAAAAGTATATGGCTTCCAACAACTTAAATGTACAGTTCGTATGGACTTGTTTTACCTGAAAAAAGACTGTTATAAAAGTTTTTTTTTCTCCAAAGATAGTCATATTCATAAAGAGAAACCAACTTTTTATGGAGTTGCCAAAAAAAGTTATAAAGTTAAACCAAAATGTAAATTTTAAAAACATAATTGGGATTCTATGAATCCGAGTTGTTCCTTGCGCCCTTGCCATGATAATAAAGTTGTACCTTGATCAAACAAGACTTTCTTTGGAAGGACTAGTAAATTTTTGTGAACTTGATACTGAATACAAGCAATCTTTTGGGTCGTAATTTGGTATGCTTAATTCACAGCAATGCAGGAAAAGTAACTACAAATGCATACTCTCAGGGAATTCGGTTCCTTAACAAAATTGCAGGTCCTTATATAGATAGTACTTCTATATCTTTACCAAAGTGAAACCGCCGTTTTTGATAGTTTGTCATTGTTACTTTAACTTGTCTATAGAACAATCAAAAAGCTCCAAAGACTTCAATATTTCAAAAAGTTCTATTGCCCAGAACCAAAAAACAAGCAAGCCAGAAGAAAGGTAAAATGTGGGATGCTGCAACTTCATTCTATACCACCTGTAATGGTGTTAGTCCATCTTGGCTTTGCTAGAAATTTTAAATTTGTTTCAGGATACCATCAAATAAGAGAAAAAATGCAACTCAAGTTGCGACAGGTCAAGAAGTACAAGACAAGAGAAGAAAACCAGATGAGGTGAAAAGTAAAGTAAAAGAGGAGCAGGTGAAAAAGAAAATGATAGAACTGTACGCTGTTAGCTCAGATGATGAACTCTAGAATTCCCAGTTTTTGGTCTGGGAAATGAGAATTCAGTTTCTGAATGATATGTAATATTTAAATCGAATGACTAGTGTTATGTGTAAACCTCATAGCCAAGTGTTGGACATAACATTGAGTCTAGGATCACAGGGTTCAGATTTTATAGAGTTTTTAGTTTTTATTTTATTTTGTAAAACTCGTCACTTTTCTTATCCATAATGAGCAGAGGAATGATTCGGTGATCAGTATTACACATAATCACCATTTATTTATTGCCTCAAAATTTGAGTTCAATGTGATTTTGGTAGTTGAGGAGAGAATGTTATTTATTTGAATTGATAAATTGATATGCAAAACGGGTGTTGTTGAGGTTAAGTCCCGTAGATCCGAAAGTCCAACACACGCTTTGGATATTAAAGGACGTCGGTGTTAATTCGAGGGTAAAAGAAAATATAAAGACTGAATCACCTGAGTGATATTACTTAAAAGCCCACTTGTATTAAAGTAATTTGTTGATTACAGTTGGATTGCCCGAACGGTATGTCGGAACAATAGCTAATACAACTATACAAGACAAGAGTGAATAATTTATGCTAAGGCTTCGAGTATCAAAATGTTAACCCTTTACAATGAGATTACTGCCTCTATTTATACTAAAAAAGGGGTAGGTGGGTGATGACGTGGCTGAACTCGATTGGCTGCTGTTTTCAAGCCACTTGGATACCCATGCTCCCACTTGTTGATGACATACTCTAGCATTTAATGCACCTTACCACTTGTCGACTGCCCGTTCGGGCAGCGGTCTGTTGATCCTGACTGGTGTTTGTTAATCTGACCCGAGTGTACTACTTGACCCGTTTCCCGTTCGGGATATTCAGGATGAACTATTGTAGACCCCTGATTCCCGATCGGGTCACAGTTTCTTCATGGACCCGTCACCCTTCTGGGGCCTTCCATGGTCTCTGGGCCGGGTGTTGGGCATCCCGCCCAATAACCCAACAGGTGTTTATATCAACTTCCGTTTTTTGTGATTACTCTCCCATGTTGGAGAAATGAGAAGAGTAGCGAAAATAACCATTTCTTGGATTAACCGAGAATTTCGTTTTTTTTTTGCATGTCATACCACTAATTAATGCAGAATGTTACGTAGTACTACCTCCGTTCTCTTTTAATTGCAACATTGGACTTTTTACACTATTCACATATTATACTTTGACTATAATTTATTACTTAATGTATTATAAATTATTATTTTTAAAATATATTGTTAAATTCTTCTCATTCTAAATTTTCAAAATATAAATTTTTTAAATTTTTTACTAATTGGGAATGAAAGATATTAATGGTCAAACTTGTGCGTTGTCAAACTAAACGTGAAATGTTGACTGTTGCAACTAAAAGGGAACGGAGGAAGTATATGTTTAGCCAATACATGTATAGTTTTATTTTATTTTTTTTGAATTTGAAACACAGCAAATGAGGGGACTTTTTTGAAGTTTCTCATTGAGACAATAAAATGCTCCTCTCAATTTGCTTGTCTTCGTTACTATCCATCAATCTAAGTGCCTCTCGGTTTTTTTCAGGTGTTGTATAAAACTTTAATGTTGTTTCATAGTCCTTAATTAACTTTACACTTTACTTTTTGGGTCGTCCCATATTAAACTTTACACTTCCTTATTTGCCTTATTTGGCAAACAAATCTACACCAAACGGTGTCAAACAGTGCCTAACAGTGTCAAACAGTGTACTCTACAATAAAGTCAAATTTATTTCCTAAATATGTGTGAAGTCAAAGTGTAAACTTCATTAAGGACCGGAGGGAGTAGGTTATAAACTTTGTTCGTTTTTCTTTTTGAGTTGGTTATTTCTTCGTATATTATTTTATCTAATCAACTATATCTGCCCAACTTACAAGTTTTGTTTGTTCATATGAAATTAAAATGCTAAAAAATTGATCAAGAACACTATCAAACTTGTATCATGTTTTGTTCTGCGGAGAATGTTGAGATTAAATTATAGGAAAAGTTTAAATTCTACATTTCTAGCTAAAAGATCAATTCAAATACTAGATTCTGTAGGAAAAAATGTGTTAAAATTGCATGAAATTGTCAATTTGGGGAAGAATTTTGAGTGGGTCCCACTTTGAATTTGGGTCGGGTCAAAGTGGTTTCAGATTCTCCTTGTCAAGGGCTTCGATCCGATATTAGGATACTCAAAATGGATAATGGGTTAATGAGAAATTGATTCTCGAAGTCCACTCATTGAAATGGAGAATGATAAGCTTCAAGTGTGATTTATCCGAGGAAAACTCAGGAGATTTCCACCCTTTTTAAAGGTTGCCTTCTTTGAAGGAGTCAATATTCCTAGGTGGAAGGACTCTCTTCACGCACGGAGGGTGCCGGTCAAATCCATAAAACGGAGAAGAAAGACCACGAATGTTGTCCGAAAATCTATCTTACACAGATAAGATTTAATTTTTGTTTCTTCATGTAATGATCCTATTTTTTGCTTGAGAACCAGCTCGCCGGTAGGCTGCTGCTCGCTGTTCAACGGTCACTAGCAGGCTGCGGGTGAACCGTTACAACATTGAAGTCCAACGTTCTTCTCCCTTAATGCATCTTTAAATGTATAGTTTCTGGACATATTGATGCCCAACGTTCTAGTCATTTATATCTAACGTTCAGGTCTATTAAAACACACTTAACACACAACACATTCGTCCCTACATATAGCTGGTAGGTGCTTTGCAACAACACACGATAATACACAGTCTTCACGTACTTTTCAAGCTAAAACCACCTTTAGCTTTCTGAAAGTTCCCTAGTGTTCTTGTTTTTTTTCATTCGCCGGTTGTGTGCTCAAACGGTTGTTTGTAGCCACCGTATCCTGGGATACAATCGTTGCAATGCTCCTAGCACAGTGGGAGGCAACGAATATTTTTTAAGAAAATTGTGTGTTGCACAACTTTTGGCTTTTCTGTCCCATCTTGTTTCTATTTTCTTTGGCTAATTTTTTCTTAATTAATTTCTTTATTTTTCGAATAAACACGAAATTCACCCAACAGATTCGTCAAAGTATTTTTTAAAAGAAGTTCGCGAATTGTCAACTTTGTGCATGGATCAAAGTTTTAATATCTGAAAATGAGAAGATTAGCGAAGAGAGAATATGTTAGTATGCTCTTGTGAGATTTGTTCTTAATGGTGTTCTTAAAAGTGTGTTAAATTGTTAATGATGTATTAGAAGTGTGTAAATTACCATGAAAAAGACTCCTATTTATAGAAGAACGTGTGAGGTGAATCGAATTTGGAGATGATTATGAAGAAAGAATGACCAATATAATACCTACGGGTGTTTGGTGGACAAAAAAGAGATCATCCGTTTCTTTAGACAGAAAAGTGATAAAAATACAATTGAAAGACTAAATTACCCCTGCAATGAAAATTGAAACCTTGCATCTGGCAGATCCTTTGCAATTGATTTCAAATCCTCCGCATGAGGAAGATGAGGCCGCCGTCCTCTTTCAAACGCCGCCACAGTTTTCGCGTCTGCCTCCCCTGTCCCATGGAGTCGCCAACCATCTCCCACTCCGCCGCCCCAACAAACGTCACCTCATATGGATCTCAGGACTAGGGTTTCAGATCGATGGCTAGGATTCCGATTGAACGCGATGGTGCAATGGTGAGGTGAATGTTGGGTGGAGGCTAGGGTTTTGGGGTAGAGTCTGACGGTTGGGGAGGTTGAGATCTTGAGAGGGGTACACTATGGCTTGGAAGGGGTCTGCACCGCATGCGAAGGGGAATTGGCTAGGGAGATTGCTGGAGAGCGGGCTGGGGGCTGCTGGATTGCAGGTTGGGGGGCTAGCGGGCGAGGAGTGGCGGATGTCGCCGCCGGGAGAGGGTTAGCAGCGGTCGCCGTCGGGAAAGGGTGATGCTGGGGAGGCAGGCTGTTACTAGGCAGGGGCAACTTGTTTCAGGGTGGCGGTTGCTAAAGGGGCTTGTGGTGGCCGAAGGTGGTAGTCGCCGCCGGTCGTCGCAGGTGGTGGTCGTCGCAGGTGGTGGCTGCCGAAGGTGGTGGTCGCCAGAGGTGGCCGCCAGTGGTCATTATTAGACCAAGTAAGTGTAAATGGTTAGTCACTATGCAGGGACTAATCTTAATCAACACAGTTAATCTACTCGACCGGAGTAAGTGTTCTTTGGTCACTGCTCCTAAGTCACTGTACCGTTTGGTCACTGGGTCCTAAGTCACTTGATGGATAGTCTACCCGGGGGTATATATCCGAAGGGTTATTACGGGGAATAACCTAGAGAGAAGTCGGAGCAAGTAAGTAAAAGTAGAGAGAGAGTGTATTCAGTATGAATGCCGTTTTCAGCGTGGTTACAAATGGGGAAATGGGGTGCTATTTATAGTAGCAATAAATGCCGGACAGGGACACGTGTCAAGCGCTCATTGGCCGAGGGGTCACCTCAACTGGTTGGCGCTGGCAACCGCATGTGGCCGCATTTAATGCGGCTGTTGGATGGGATGTCTGTACAGGGTACGGTGATCTGTACGCATGTGAGGCGGATGTCTTGTCGAGTGAGATGCCTTCGGCTATAGAGCAGTAGCTGAGGGCTCCTCCAGCCGATGGCACCTTGGTGCCGAGGGCTCACAGTGCCGAGGGCTACTGTTTTCGCCGTTTTCTCCCAATTTCTTAGTTTGCTTGAGAAACCCGTTCTGTGAGAGTTTAGAGCCTTCGGCCAGGGGGCCGAAGGCACCCCTGGCGCGTAGTGCGGGCTGCTTGGTACTCTGGGCGCTGTGATTTGGGCCTGTTGGGCCTTTTGGGCCTGTTGGGCCTTCGCTGGAGTAGTAGGAGTCTGTGGGCCGGGGGTTCTCGGGCCATATACTCCATCAGGAGTCCCTCACTCCTTTTGCCGAAAGGTACTTGAGGGAAAAGGAGTAATTTGTGCTTGCCCTTTGATGTTGTCCCGTCGTGATCTCTGAAGTTGGTGAGGAGTTGTTGCTTTTATGTCCCTGCCGAAGGCAGTCCCTCAGTTACCCACATGTCGGGACTTGAGGGCTTGCCTTGTCGTTTGTCGGAATTTCACTAATTTAATGATTTTCCCGAGGGGGTCCTCTAGTCCCCCACTCCTTGAGGCACTTGTAAAGTGGTGAAAAGGAGTAAAGTAGTTACGTTGCTGTTGTGGGCCGAAGGCTGACGCTTTTCGTTCCATTTTGGGGGGATGCCTCGTTAAAAACCTCATTAGGAAAAACCCTGGGGGAAAAA